AATATTCAAGGACAAGTTAAGAACTAGCCTGTGTCTAAACAAACCTCACAAAAGAGAACAGGAGGAAAACACAGGAGATTACTTTTTTTTAAACTGTGGTGACTGTTTGGTCCTTCAGGTCCGATCGCGGGTCACGTCGGCGACGGTAACTTTCACTGTATTATGGTGGTGGATCCCAGCGACCAGGACGAGCAGCACAGAGTTCACCTGTTCACCGAGAGGCTGGCCAGGTAACGTCACACCTCACAGCCAGAGTCAGGATCAAAATCAGAATCAGAGTCAGGATCAAAATCAGAACTGGAATCAAAGTCAGTGCCAGAGTCAGTTTCATTGGTCAAGTTTGTGAACACATAAAAGGAATTTGACTCCAGTTTTTCTTTGCTCTCGAAGTTTTTATACAGAAAACACGTGAATTTAAAAACAGGTTAAAGACGGAACATGAGTGTTTGACTCCAGCGTGTCGGTTCAGCTGTGTGTAAAACAGCTTGTTTAAAGTTTTGTTTTAGTTTCTAAACCTCTCTGGACCTGATTAGTCACAAATCTTTCTCCAGTCTGGACTTCACTCTGTGGAGCTTTGTCTCTAATTCATTGTTCGTGATACAGTTCGGTCACTTTGTCACTGCTGGTTTGACCAAACGTAGCTCAGTAGTCGTCGGTGTTTGCTCTTCAGAGAGGCAAAACAACGCAAAACAGATATCAAGAGACATAAAACGTAAACAATGAGGGACACGCAACTATAAAGACACACTAAACGACCAGGAGGAGACACAAATGGAACACAGAGAAACTAGAAGTGCAAAGAGATGCACGAACAGATGCTTATTTAATATAAACTGAGATTAAAACCGCATTCTGGGTTTCACAAATGGCCACAAACAGACAAAAAAAATGACCACGAAGATGCAAAACAGCCTCCAAACGACAGAAAAGGACCTCAAGGAGACAGACCCAAATACAAAGAGGTGCAAGATGAACACAAACAGATGCTCATTTGATGCAAACAGAGATAAAACCATCTTAAAGACACCAAAAAAGTGGTAGACGCAAAATCGCTGCAAAGAGACACAAAACAACCACAGAAAAGTTAAAAAAAACAACCACAACGAGACAAAAAAACTACCACGAGACACACAACCACCACAAAAAGACACAAAATGACCACAAAGAGACACAAAACAACCCAAAAGAGAAACAAAATCTCCATAAACAAACATAAAACAGTCACAAAAACAACAGAAAATGTCCACAAAAAAAACAACAAAAAATACAACAACTACAAGACACATGGACCCACAGGTCAATAGAGGCTTCGGCCAATCAGAGACGGACCTACACAATATCAGACAGCTGGTTTTAATGTTGTCGCTGATCGGTGTGTATTTGATTCATTTAAACTTGTATTCGAGTATTTCTTCTCATTAGCGCCTCTAATCTCAGTATTTTAGCTTTGACCGCCTTTAGCTGCTCTAAACTCTCCCTGCAGACAGAAAACGTCTTGTTATGATCTTCAGTTTGTCTCTGCAGCACCTTTCTGTTTATCCTCTGATCCTCTGATTATCTTCAGACTCTCCTCCAGATAATATCGACTCCACCGGACCGAACGTTTGAGCCTCTGGTTCTCAGAAGCCTCGGCCTGTTGTCTGTTCACAGATGGTGGTTTTTCCCTAAATGCCGACACAATCCTCCGAAAATCTGCCTAGAAAGACTTTAAACGAGGTCGAGGGCAACGGCAACTGAGGGCAACGGCGGACAAGTTAGAGATGAAAATGTTCAGATAGAAGGTTAAATAGCTGCTGTTTTTTATTTTAGGTTGACTTAAGACTCACAATGAGTGAATGAATGAATGAATGAAAAATACTTTATTTATCCCAGAAGGGAAATTCAATAATGAGACATTTTATGTTAAACGTAGAGATCAGAGGTCTTGTTGATAAACTCTGAGGAAAGTCTCCAAAGCCAGTGGCACGACCTGGTTTTGGATGATCTAACCTTCATCTGAGCACAAACACATTTGATACAGTGCATGCATTGGCCGGGAATCAAACCCGGGCCTCCCGCGTGGCAGGCGAGAATTCTACCACTGAACCACCAATGCTGGATGAGCAACAGCAAATACCATATTTGGAAAAAATGTCAAGTCAGCACTACAGTGAAGGAGGCAGGTTTTAGTTTAAAAGCAGCTACACATGCAATGACCACAAAAGACATAACATTAAGACAAAACTACACAAAACATCAACAGATGGTCACCAATAAACAAGGAATTACCAAAAAAAAAAACATATAAAGATAACTTCAAAAGACCCTATATTGAATCAAACACTGTGAAAAAATTACCTCAGACACACATAAAAATATTATATTTCAACTTATAACAGTATAATGTTCTGGTTGGAGGTCATTAGCCACCACAGAAGCCGTTTACTAGCTAAACTCCCACAATGCTCTGCTTGTAAGCATAAACAGACTGGAGGTAGTATGAGTTTTTTATTATATTAGATATTCAGCTGTCAAGTACATACACTGGATTGATTTTAATAACTTCAATGTATTTATAGTTACAGGTCCATTTAGTTAAAACTTCAGCTGCATTGGCCAGGAATCGAACCCGGGCCTCCCGCGTGGCAGGCAAGAATTCTACCACTGAACCACCAATGCTGGATGAGCAACAGGAAATACCATATTTGGAAAAAAATGTCAAGTCAGAGCTCAGACACAAAATCACCACAAAAATAAACATTAAGTCAACGAATGG